GCCAGCTAAGGATATAAAATCATGGGAGCACCGTTTAAAAGGTGCTCGTTTACTGTTTTCGCGGCCGCGAAACCTTCAAAAAAGTTCTTGCCCTGGACAGGAGGAATTGAAACTGTCAGTCTTAGACTCGAGGATACTTTTAAATTTCCTTATTGCGCATACCGCCTCCTATTTTCTGACGTCTCTTTTAGGGAGCGAAAAGTTAACGTTAAATTAAATTCACCTCGACCGCGAAGTGGAGGAGAAGAACGCTTGGCCTGGCGCGACTATAACAGATTATAAAGGTCCAAATTTATGTCACTAAGCGTAAATATAAGTAATAATGCTTGTCTTTCAGATTGTTTGAAATCGATTTCCTTTTCGACTTTTATCATTGATCATTGAATAAATTTAGGCAACAAAAAGATCTGAAATCCTTTCATCCCCAAATATTTCGAATATTTCATATCGAACGAAGAAAAAGCGTCAGCTAGATCTGGGTGTCAACGAAAAATGATGGGAACGATTCGCATGAAAAATGTAACTACATCGATCGTCCTCTAATTGCTCTCATCCCCCCACTGCATCCCCCTCCCCTGCCCAGTGCTTGCATGGAATTTCATCAGCCCGAGTAGACGAGGATCAGCCGTCACTCTCACTATCGTCGTGTGTCATCAACAGGTGAACCAAGTGTTGACCAGGGAATTGCCAAGCTCGAGCTCCTCGGAGGATAGCATGGTGTCCTCGACGCGACTAGGGCTGACTCTGCGCCTCGAACGACAGCATTTCCCCGGAGGAACCTTGACTCTCGGTTGTCAGTCCATTTTGCCGGGGATCGTGGATACGAAGGCGCTCGAGAGGACGGAAACCGCAACGCTGGCTGCCAGCAATCAACGACTGGCGCAAGAACCACCCACATCCGGATGCATAGTCAACCTTCCATCCTCCCTGATAGCCACCGTCTGCTGTTTCTTACTACCACGGTCGTTTAATTACGGTATCTTAACATTCTCCTACGTTTAATCCACGGTCTTACGTCTCGGTCGAGACTGTCCTCTTCGACGAACCCCGGATACCTCGTCCGCAAAGACACGAAAGACCGGATCATACGCGAATCTCGCACACGCGTTCATTCTCAAATCAAGTCGAGTCGCAGATTCGTTGATTCGGGATTTTCTTTTTCTTTTTTTTTTT